AACCCCCTTCCCCTCCCCCTTTTCTGATGAAGGGTCTAGGCCTGAAACGTCAGCCTCTCTGCTCCTATGATGCTGCTTGGCCTGCTGTGTTCATCCAACCCTGCACCTTGTTGTCTCGGATTCTCCAGCATCTGCAATTCCTACTATCTCTGATTCATTGTTAAACTACATCCCAGCAAGGGCAGCTTTAGAGCCCTGATGGATTCAGTACAGAAACCAATGGATGTGCTTGCTGGTGTGATCCCACACACAGGTCAGCTTCCTGGAAGCAGGATGGGAGACAGCGGGGACAATTCTCCTGCAAATGGTGGGTCGCTAATGAATGAGATTTAAAAGCTACTTCAGGCCCTTCAAAAGAGGCTGATGGCAAATTTCTAGTCAGCAACTTCTGGTCCCTCAGGTACACTTGGGGCTCCGGTCAGCTGCTTGGTAGCAGTCACCGGTCAGGAATGGAGATTTTCAAGGGTTCCACTGTACAAAAGTGGCCCCCCCATCTACTCATTCTTTAAAAAGATGAAGGCAGCCTCTCTCTGGCAGCCTCAATAGGTGGCCTGCTTAGTCAGTGCTGGAAGGCCTCCTATTGCCTCTGCCACCCCCAATTTCAAGAGTCTGCCAGTTATCTTGACTGGATTACTTGTCTGCACTGAAGCCATTAACTTTGGCTACAACAGAAAAATCGTTGTCAAGTGACTTGTCCCCTGCACAGCAGGAAGGGGTAATGGGGTAAAGGTGGAGTAGTGTTCCAATCCCACATGACTGTGGCATCGGGTCCAAAAGGTCAAGGGAAATCCTGCCCCACTGTGTCAACTAAAAGAAAGAGAACGAGATACTGGCAGTCTTTTGATTGTGGCCTTGAAGTGAATTATGTCCCATGACCAATTTAATATTTTGAAATAACAAGAATTTTGTGCATTTATAAGTTGTGTATGAGATGAACTCGTTAAAAAGTAAATAAAACTGGCTTTACATAGAGTCAGAAGCTCCTCCTGGTTTCACATTTACTCTATTTAAGCCACAGTGCCTACCAAATCTTGTTATTTGAATGGATATAATCCATAGGCATGTTGCAAGCCAAAAAACAACTAAAACAATACAAGCTTGAAAACTGCTTGTCACTGCACCAGACAGGGTCTAGACAGGGTTACCAAATTCTACACTGGGAGAAAAACAAACCTTGTTTGTTCACTTTAAATTTTGCAGTTACAGTCTGCATAATAAATATGGGCTATATCTCCAAAACACTGTGGCAGTCTGGAAAAAGCAAAAGTAGCAATCCTTTTAATCAACTGTGACTGCAATTAGGTGGTGGTAATAGTATGCTCGTGCATTACCAGAGAAACCAATCCTACCTCTCTCCACACTGATGGGTCATGTGTGTTGCAACAGTAAATTACTCATGACCTCATTTAATGTAAAATCTGACTCAGGAGATCTCATTATCTGCACATTCCATATCAGTTTTTGATTGCCTTAGAGAGGAATAAACAGAATTTAAAAGCTTATTACCTTAGATCTTCAAAATGATATTTTCTAATCAACCTGTCCAGGGATGTTATCACACACGTCTGGAGCAAGTGGGACTTGAACCTGGGCCTCCTGGATGTCAGTGATTAGTCATTTTTGACTAAACATAAAATTAATCAATCATAACCATTACTTTCAATTTTAGAAGTTAAATTAGCGTGCATATTTTAGTCAAATAAACTCAGGAACGAGTAAACTAAACATTAGATATTGTCACTCCATTCTTTTGAGATTGCAGATCAAAAGGTCACAATATACCACCCTAATTTTAGCTCATTATGCAGCAAAGAAGAGCCAGTCAACCTCTAATTAATTTTCATAACAACCACTCTTTCTATGGATCCGATTTTAACATCATAGTGAGCACAAACAGTTTTAGCCACTAGATAGTTCACATCTGACTAGCTAAATTGTTGTCATTTTATTTGTCTGCATTCAAACTTTATTTTGAAAAGCCACGTAAAACTTTGCTAAACAATATGCGAAGTAAAACTTGCATCAATAATGATGCATTCAAAGAAGCTCAAAACAAAAAAAAATGATCCTGCACTACTTCAGGGTCTGGATTGTTGTTGGAAAGGTGCGAAATGATCTAAAGTCAAAGCACAATACTTGATAGATGAACAAATCTGTCAGAACTAGGAAATGCTGGATCCTTACCCGATGATCTGGCTAGAAACTGGCATCCATATCATTGTTCCAACTGGCTCTTAGACTGGAAGAACCTAGAAATGATTCTCAATATTATTCCCTCCCTTACTGCACCCCCCATTGATTCAATGGAAGCATAAGATTTCAACAGCCATCATACAAGGTCAAATATCCATAAATCTCCATGGATATTGAAGATGCCAACAAAGAAGTCTACTAAATAATATTTAGTTAATGTCTCTTCTAGGACTTCAGGTATCAATGATAACAGAAATGAAAATCAACAGCAGCGGCAGATCAGATAGTTGGAGGTGTTAATGACCCATTTCTCTTACTATCTGATTCACAGTAAATATAGTACACCATAGTATGATGGATCTTTTCACCATGGTTTGGCTTTCACAGGACCTGACTGGTCTAGTGTGGTAGACAAAACCACTTGGTAGTCTAACGAGAAGAGGCTCTTGTCTCAAACCCCATGTAGGTTATTGCATCATAGCAATTTAATACAAGGCTCTATTAGTATGATAAACATTGTTACTTAGACTATGAGGAGGTGTAGATGATAAGTCTATATCCTTCAAGACCGTGGGCTGTCTGTTTGACATAATCATATTAAGCACTGCATAATGCACTCATCATTGACCCTTTTAGAGTCTAAGATCTTATACCATAATCTTTAGGTACATTCAACATTTTAGGTGCTGCATTTTGAAAAGGCAAATCAGGGCAGGACTTGTACACTTAATGGTAAGGTCCTGGGGAGAGTTGCTGAACAAAGAGAGCTTGGAATGCAGGTTCATAGTTCCTTGAAAGTAGAGTCACAGTTAGATAGGATAGTGAAGGCAGCATTTGGAATGCCTGCCTTTATTGGTCACTGCATTGAGTATAGGAGTTGGGGGGGTCACATAGCGGCTGTACAGGACATTGGTTAGGCCACTTTTGGAGTATTGCATGCAATTCTGGTCTCCTCCTATAGGATGGATATTATGAAACTAGAAAGGCTCAGAAAAGATTTACAATGTTGTTGCCAGGGTTGGAGGGTTTGAGCTATTGGGAGAGGCTGAATAGTCTGGGGCTATTTTCCCTAGAGGGTCGGAGGCTGAGCGGTGACACTATAGACATTTATAAACTCATGTGGGGCATGGATAGGGTAAATAAGCAAAGTGCTTAGCCTGGGGTGGGGGAGCCAAAACTAGAGGGATTAGGTTTAAGGTGAGAGGGGAAAGATATAAAAGGGGCCTAAGCAGCAACTTTTTCACGCAGAGGGTAGTGCATGTATGGAATGAACTGCCAGAGGAAGTGATGGAGGCTGGTACTATTACAACATTTAAAAGGCATCTGGATGGGTATATGAAAAGGAAGGGTCTGGAGGGAAACTCTGAATGGGCCAAACGCTGGCAAACTCAACTAGATTTATATAGGATATCTGGTCGGCATGGACGAGTTGGACCAAAAGATCTGTTTCCGTGCTCTGTATCTCTATAACCGTATGACTATTTGTGAATCTAACTTGATTGGAAACTACGGAATTTAAAACATGCATTAGTCAAATACAATATCAGACTAATACCTTTATTGCATACCCCCACCATAGAGATTCAATATCGTTGCTTGTCTAGAATACTAATTGCTAACTTACTATATTTGTAGGATAAAAAGAATGCAATGTATGATTTCATTTAAAAAAACAAACTCTCTTTCAACACTGTGTTAAAAAACTGAAATTAAGCATCAGTGAACATCAGCAAGAGAAAACACTGTGCTTCTAGTTCAGTTATCAACAATGCAATTAGTGTCTCCTCATCCACACCCACTCCCTAACAGCTTGTTAATGTACACTTCCAAGTAGGAATCAGCAATTCAATGCCTCCCACAACTGCCAATATGCTCTGTAGGAGTAACAAATAATCATACCTTCTGTTTTTAAGTAAAGTTATCGCTTTTTATATGAAAACACTTGGTATCAATGCAAAATAAAATGTCTTTAACCTGTGAAAGCTTGTTTTTGTCAATGCATTTTCTTACATTTTTGATTTATCATCTTGGTATCTCTAAATACTGTACATCTGTCTTTTATCAATAGTATTATGCTCCCAAATGATGGCAATATGGGACAGGTCAGACCACAAAGTGAATCTGGTTTGATAGACAGTCAGTGTTACTTTTCAAGTTTGCTTACCATTGTGGCCAGTCATAAGCATATTTACTCCAGGCTGTCAATGCATTCTTAACAGAAGAACATATGTTTGTTACACAAAATAAACAAATAAATACATAAGGACATTTTGGAAGGATGGTATAATAAACAGCAAAAAGAAATATTAGACCCTTTTCTCAATAATATCTTTTATAGAGACATTGAATTCCAGTGAATTATCATTCCTACCTTTATTTTAAAATTTCTTACTGAACTGACAAGGTTGCAAGCATTTTCTTTCAGAGAAATTCTCCACATTCACCAAATGTGATTTAATCAGGGTGACTATGTGCCTCAGAGCAATTCTTTGACTTTTTTCATTGAACTCTAAGGGAAAAAAAACATTGAGACCTTGATTACTTTTAAGCTGCTATACAGGACATTTGCTTTCTTCTGAACTTCAGTTTGCCCCCGGCCTTTCCTTCTGTAGGCCATGAAGATTTAAGTCGACAATAAGCGATAATCATCTCATTAGGCAGCTTGTTTAGTCACTTAGCTACAGTCACATGATTATTTTTGTAAACGCAGTTTTTAGCTTTCTGTTCCAAATTATTTATGATCCTTAATATATAACAGAACAGACCTTCACAGCAATGAATACCAAAAACACTTTGATCTCTACTCTCGAATCCAAGTGCCACATAATAATATATCATGAACCTTCATCACGATAGATAATATTATAAATGCAGCACTGGAGTGCAGTGTTCAGAATAGGTGCACTGTTGATTTTTTTTCTTTCCAAACAAGAAACAAATTATCCTTTGTAAAGATTCTTTCATGGGATGTGGTTATCATTGCAAAGTCCAACATTTCTGTCCATCCCTATTTGCCCTTCTGAAGTTGCCCTTTGAGAAGCCGCCTTCTTAAACAATTGCAGTCCATGTGATCTATAGACACCCACAGTGTCGTTAGAAAGGGAGTCCAAAGGAACAATGTTACAGTTCGTTATCAGAATGGTGTATAGCTTGGAGTCTAAAGTTAATTGGCATTCCTTTGTTATTTTAAAAGGACTTATTCCTTTTGAAGGGTCAGATATTGCTGTATTTACATCACATACGTAACCAATTACTGAAGTAAGTGATTGGCGAAAGTTCCCCAGAGACTGACAGAGAGAGAGACAGAGAGAGAGAGAGAGACAGGACTCTTTGATCATGTGGTTTAATACCACAGTATGTATTTGTGCTCAGACTTGTCAAGGAAAAGAACTATCTTCAACCTTAGACATGAAAGTAACAGTTTTCTTATACTTTTACACTAAAAACAGCCATAAACGGTAATCATAAATATACAAGGCTCTGACTTATACTTACATTAGCAAAGGGCTAATCTACCTTTGTGTGTTCATGTTCATGTATGCTCAAGTCTCTCGCTCTCATTCCGGAACACAGTGTCGTGTAATATTGTGCAGTGTGTTCTAATTCTGACCACGCTATGCTACTAAGGCTGTGATGTGCAGCTCCATGACATTATTGCAGTTTGCTTCAGGGTATTAAGGCCCATCCACAAGGACCAATGGCCATTTGATGAAATTAAAGTCAGTAGAGTTGTACGAACAGCTATTTTAGCAAGCGAGATCCAAGGGGAATTACAGAGATTGTATGGAAGCAGCATTTTGGGACAATGCGAGTGGCATACTATGAAAATATTAAACAATATTCCAGGGCAGAGCAATTACTGGTAAGGATGCAAGATACTAAAGACAGAAACTCTGTAAGAAGGACCACAAGTTCGCCACAATAAAAAATATTGTGAATGAGTGTGCTTATAGCCAACCCTGAGAATATAAAACCAAACAGGTTGTTACAACAAAAGCAGGTCTTCTTTGAAGGCATTAGAAGGGAAGATAAATGGGTATGTCAGGTAGCAGTTGATCTTGAGAAGTGGCGAAGTAAGAAGAAATACAATTTGCAGTGAGAGTGAGATAAAATCAGAAAATGCTGGAAATACTCAGCAGGTCAGGCAGCACCTGTGGAGAGAAAAACAAAGGTAAATGTTTCAGGTTGACAAAAGTCAACATTGATCTGAATAGTTAACTGTTTCTCCACAGATGCTGCTTGACAGAGTGAGTATTACCAACATTTTCTGTATTTCTTGCAGATTTCTAACATCAGGAGTATTTCACTTGTCTTGTTTCAGAGTCAGCCTTGAGGCATGAAATAGTAGAAAGCAAGAAAAGTCCAAAAAAAATGAGAACAAAGTCCAGATTTCAAAGTGGAATATGGTGTTCTACTGTGTTTTAATGTCTTCAAAGTACAAGTTATAGGAAGGAACAGATCAAGTTGAAAACAAAATGAAAAGATGTAAAGGGCAAAAGAGAATGAGATGACTCAATAAGATATCGACTACTCCCTTTTCAAAGGATAAGTGGGAAGTTAGAATTGAGATGGCTAATGGAAACAGAATTCAAAGCTGTACTCCAGTGAAATGGATTCACTGAAGTAGCTAAACAAAAGGAAGAATTTCCAGAACAGCAGGATAATTGATTATCTTTTAAGAATTAATGTCAAAGAAATAAAGAGATGAAGTAGGGCAGGATAACAAGTGACTACATTTCAAAACATTTGCTGTATTTTAATATCTCAAAATTATGATTGACATAATTGTTGCTTAAATAATCAATTTGACCTCCTTTTGAATCATCACAACAAACAGTGTCGAACAGTATTTGGCTATAAGGTGTGTATCTCACGATAAAGTCATAAATATGAGTAATAATGTATACTTCAATACTGTTGCCGTGAAGGGTGAATCCTATTATGCACAGCATGCTTGCCCTTTTCCCCACAAAACTGTAAACACATATTTCAAATGCAAGTAATTTTGAGAAAAGGTTGAAAGCACAAAAGCACAAAGCCAGAACTAAGTTACTGGAGCTGGTTCACCAAAAGCCTTTTGTGCAACTGTGAATATAATGCAATTATAATTTCTTTATCAGGAACGCACAATAACCATTTAGCACAGTAACCTTTCACAGATTGTTACATTGCATCATTGAGGATTGTAGTTGTTGATTAATGTAGCTACTAACATCGTAATGCTGCAGGCTTCATTCAAAAAGATGGTAGATGCATCTTGAGACTATTTTTGTTACTTTTCTTCCCCATTAGGAAGGTCAGGTGTGATGAGCATTTTTATCTATGTAGAAATATTTATTCAATTCTTTCCCATTGGCTACACTGTGGGTGGAGTTAACAGTTATGAAAGCAAATTGCACAAAATGCATCCTGGACATCATAATAAGCACTCGTATAGCATGAGACCTTGAGAAATTGTTGCTACTACCTTCGATTAAAGGAATTGTCATGCAGGCTATTCAAGGTGTTCGGAATTGCTAAATGTCGAGGTACATTTGTCCATATTTAAAATAGCACTGCAAATACTGGACAGAATTTTCCACTCTGGGAGAAAGCCAGGGAAGTTAGTATGGCTTTGTTCTCATCTAACTTGGCTATCATCGATCTGTCAAACTTTCAAGGGGGCAACATAATCATCGTTGTTTTGCCAGGTTCCCAGCGAGATTGCCACCTTGGAGAAAGCTGTGGAGAGTTGCTACTTGTCAGCCAGCTGTCGGCAACACTGCAGGATCTCTTGAGGTGGCTGTTACAATAGATTAGTGTTTAAGAAACTTTGGCCACGAGATTTGACAAGGTTCAAAAACAGGCCTGGTGTTGACAGCATGGGATTACCTCATTCCTGCTGCTTTTGTTTGAGGATGGAGGAGAAAAAAAAAATCGAAAAAGGAAGGAGGAGGTGCTTGAAAGCCCAGTAACAAGATAGGAGGTAGGGGTGGGGTGGGAGGCTGTCATGAAGAAGCCTGTACTAAGAAGGTTGTAAGTGTATCAGCCTGTGGAGAAAAGGTTAATCTATCTTGATTACTCTGTAATCCTGTGGAGGCCTGTGGGAAGGCGATCCCAGTTTGTTACTGTGAATTGGAAATTGTGTTCAGTTAATAAAATTGGCAGATGACTTTTTCAGTTGGCAGGTGACTTTATCTTCTGGGTGGTGTCATATTCAGCATTTGTGGTAACCTGGAATGACTTTGCTTAGTTTGACTGTGGAAAGTTGCCTAGGTTTGTTCTCTCCACAAAAGCTAAGAACAATCTAATGTGGCCTATTATCACCCTTTCAGTCAACACTACCAGCAAACTGATAGAAGGCTCATTAACAGCACTATCAAGCAGCACTCAGGCGCTTGTGGCACAGTGCAGTATATTTACCTTTGAGTCAGAAGGCCTGGGTTGAAGTCCCACCCACTCCACAGTTGTGTCATGACAAGTCTGATTCAAAATATCTTATTCTTCTCCTGACCTCATTACAGCCTTGATCCAAAATGGGCAAAACAGCTGAATTCCAGAGACAAAGCCAGAGTAACTTCTCCTGACATCAAGGCCGCATTAGATGGACTGTGGCATCGAGGCACCTGAGCAAAACTGGAGTCAATGGGAACCAGGGAAAAGCTCTGTGCAGGATAGATTTATACTTAGATTTATAGCACAGTGGAAGATGACTGTGGTTGTTGGAAGTCAATCAGCTCAGCCATACAGTATTGCTCTAGAAGTTTCTCAGGGTAGTGTCCTAGACCCAATGATCTTCAACTGCTACATCAATGCCATTTCGTCCTCTGTAAATTCAGAAGTGAGGATGTTTGTTGATGATTACATAATGTTTGCTGATGATTACATGTTCAGCGCCATTCACAACTCCTTAGACACTGAAGTAGTCAGTGTCCAAATGCAGCAAGACCTGGACAATATTCAGGATTGGACTAATTAAATTTGCAACACACAAGTTCAGATAATGACCATCTCCAACAAGAGAATCTAACCATCTTACTTTGATGCTCAACAAGATTACCATAAAAGAACACCCCACTTTCATGCTACTTGGGTTACTATTGACTGGGAATTGAGCTGGACTAACCATATACTCACTGGCTACAGGGTTCTAAGGAAGGGTCACTGGACCCAAAATGCTAACTCAGATTTTTTCTTCATACATGCTGCCAGACCTGCTGAGCTTTTCCAGTAATTTCTGTTTTTGTTCTTGATTTACAGCATCTGCAGTTTTTATGAGAAGACCGCCATTTGAAATATTCCCTCCAAGCCATTCAGAATTAAATCATTGTTCCTTCACTGTCACTGGGTCAAAATCCTGGAATTCCCTCCTTCAAAACAGTGTGGGTGTCCCTACATCCCAAAGACTGTAGCAAATCAAGAAGTTATTCTCCAGGGATGCTGGAAATGGGTAATAAATGTTGGGCAAAGTCAAAGATACCCATATCTCATGAGCAAATTAAAAAAAAAAAGTTTGTTGATAAATGCACCCCACAATCA